CATGAAGAGGATGATGTGGACAAAATACTCATTTGCCTAATAATTCTGCACTGCCTGTAGAGAGGAGAGCTGCCCAAGACCATGACTAACATGTACTTACATTTTCTACTAATTCAACCAAAAAAAATATGAGTACCATGAGGGACATAAAACACGTCCACAAAAACTGATGGAGACTGATAAGCAAGATATTCTGAAGCTGGGAAGCCTGGCATTTGAACATCTAGAGAAAGGAAACATTGTGTTTTACCGAGAAGACATGGAGCAACATGATATCAATGGTGCAGGGGTCTCTTTGTACTCAAGAGTCTGTACAAATGTCTTCAAAAGAGAATGTGGTATCTTTCAGAAACCAGTCTACTACTTTGTTCATCTGAGCTTTCAGGAGTTTCTTGCTGCAGTCTACATGTTTCACTGTTACACCAACCAGAAGACAGAAGTGCTTCAGAAGTTCCTGAGAAATGGTCTTTGTATTTATCCCTAATCTTTAGTATCTTATTCATCATCATCCACAGATATATTCTTTTTGGATAAATTTTTGTGGAAAGTCATGCAGAAATCCCTCGAAAGTAAAAATGGCCAACTGGACCTGTTTGTTCGCTTCCTTCATGGTCTCTTTCTGGAGTCCAACCAGAGACTCTTAGATCTGCTTGGTCAGACAGAGACAAATACGCAAATAAATGACAGACTCATAGACCTTTTCAATTCAAAGAATTCAATTCAAACAATGACACTAAACAGCTATAGAAAATTCAGAGGCCTGTGGGGTCAAACAGAGGAAAGACCCAGAACATTATCAATCACCCAGCGAGTCATCAACAATGTGACGAGAATGAACATTTACAACATGTCTCCGGACAGAAGCATCAACATCATCTACTGTCTGTTGGAGATGAATGACTGCACATTGCATCAGGAAATCCAAGAGTTCCTGAGGTCAAAGACCAAATTAGGGAGAGCCCTCTCGGAGTCACAGTGCACTTTTCTGGTCTTAATGCTGCAAACATTTGAAGAGGTTCTGGATGAGTTGGATCTGTGGAAGTTTAACACAACATTGGTGGGAAAATGGAAATTGATTCCAGCTGTGAGGAACTGCAGAAAGGCTTGGTGAGACAAGGTGTGATTAACATCTTAAATCAGTGTTAATTAAGCTGTTCTGTTTTTTTTTTTTTTGTGGTTGATTATTTTTCTGTGTGTGTTTTATCTTTTTTATTTATCTTTTGTAGTGATAAAAGAATGAGGGTATTGCATATAATATACAATGATATAAGGCTAAAGGTTGTCCTTGTTACAGAAATTATTGCTATTATTTACATTTATTTTGCCTAATCCATTATTTGAGAAAGAATGCTGTTAGACCTGGCCGCTTCCTTAGATAGTGTGAGGTTTTCGGCCATTCTGGGTGGGCTCAGCATAAGTGGATGGATGCAGTAATAAAAAAATGTGACTGTGGTTGTCATTGTTGTGGTTGTTTGTTTTGTCTTTGCCTTGTTGTTGCCTTGAGTGTTATTGACTAAGTTTTTAGGTGCAATGTCATTTTGGGTGACTCAGCATCAGAAGGCCACCATTGCATCACTTTTTCATACCTAATTCAAATCTACATGATTATCATGTCTGCATTTGTACACCTTTGGGCCTTTAGGGCAAAGGACAAGGGAGTGAACTGATGAGGACATCTAGTGGGCAAATAATATAAGATAACCACAGATTTGTGCGTGAGCACCCCATTTCCACATGAAATGTATGAAAAACGTGCTATCTTTATAACAATTTTTTAAAAATGTATCTGTCATTGTAGACTTTCTGGATGCCAACTGTCACTGACTCACTATGAAACCATAGCCTCAGCTCTAAAGGCTAAGAACTCCCATGTGACAGAGCTGGACCTGAGCTTGAATGTGATGCAGGATTCAGGAGTGGATCTGCTGTCTGCTGCATTGAAGAGCCCAAACTGTAGACTGGAAACTCTGAGGTCAGTTTACTGAATGTGCCTTAGTTTGAAGTGTTAAGCAAGTCCCTTATAAACTGACACCTATGCTGTGTGATGAATGTAATGTTCCCTGTCTCTGCCCCCCTCCCCCGTGGTGATGCATTGGATATATTTGTGGCCTAGTGTGATATTTTATGTGTTAGTAATCTCTGTTTTCAGTACTTTCAGTACTGGTTTTCCTTTTAGATATGGCTACTGAAGATTACTTTTAGTTAGAATGCTCTGCCTCCAGTGTCTTTCACATTGGGTCCTTTACAATCCATACACCAAACCAGTAGTCGAGGATAAAATCAACAATTCTGTTTTCTAGGTTAAAAAAAGAAAAGAAAAAGGTTACCTCACAGTAATCTGAGATAGGAAAACCTGAGGGCCATATAGCTTTTGTTCTTCAGCATGTAGTCTGTGTTTGTGGCAATTGAAGTCTTCTTTCTGGTTAGAGGACTGTGTCAGATGTCTGAGAGTGATTTGATTTTGTTCTTTTTGATGAGCTTCTAATTTTTGTTGTCATCATTTTGTTTTTAATAACATGATATTGGAAGTAGCTTTGCTTTCTCTTTAAGTTTAGTTTTTAATTGTAAACAGAACCTGCTTTTTCATGTGGACTTTTTAAACATTATTATTGTTACTTCCCCACATTACCGGGTCCCACGCTAACAAAAGACTCTTTTTTTTTTTCCATATACAACTTAGTTGAGGTAAGTGTGTTTGTGTGTTTGTTTGTTTGTTTTTAATTCAGGTGTCCTATGGTTTCTTATTTTTATGGACAATTTTGCTGTGTTCAAAATTTGTCGTAGTTTAGGGTAAAGAATGTAGGTGTCTGTCACAAAACGGCTGTGTGTAGGCAGGAGAGGACCCAAATGCAAAACTCACCGAGATGGAACGTGAACTCAAAAGCACAGCTTTATTGCTGAAAACAAGGCCAAACGATACAAAACTAAACTGGGAAAACTAATAATAAATCGTACGCGAAGAAGGGAGGCTAATCATACACAGCTATGAGGGAGGACGCAACACTAAAAAAGAGAAACACAGGGCTTAAATACACTGAGGGATAACGATGGAAATGAGACACAGAAGGAGAGCACAGCTGGGAGTAATTGGACTGGATAAGACAAGGGAAGCAAAACTAGAAACAATGACATGAGGCACATACCTTCAAAGTAGAACAGTAAACACACAAACTAAACTCTAGACATGTAAACGTGACTAGACTGGGGAGACAGAATAGGGACCTGGAACATGGGAGAGAAAGGCACAGTAGACATAACACAGAACACAGGGGAGCCATCACACAAAACCTAAGAACTAAACCCGTGACAGCTGTAATTGAAACCTAGGGAAATGACAATAATCAAAACGGTATAACCAAGGACTCAGAAAATTATATATATATATATATATATATATACACTGTAAAAACTGTGATTTGGGTTAATTAGTATCTAATAGGAAAGTAATAGTAACTATTACTCAGTAAAAACATGTATGTGTTGTTTTAATTAAATCTAAACAAAATTAAACATTTTTGAGATGTTCAGTTATTTAAATTTTCACAATTTTGTTTGGGGTAAATTAAGCAATAGTTTGTTGAGCAGATTTAACAAAAATGTATGAGTACCGTGAAAAATGAAGAAATCTAATTGATTTAACTAATGAAAGCATTTTCATTTCAATCATTCTACACTTCCACCCGTAGTCCGTTGTGCCATGTGCAGGACACACACGGTTCAGCAGTGGATGTTCCCCATTTTGTCTGAGGTAAGATTAACTTAATTTGTATGAATATACAACACGTTTTAAACAATAACTTATAACAGTTTTGAGTAAAAGTTCTAAACAGTATGATGCGTCAAAATTAGATTAATAATGACCACTGTAATGACAGTATCATATTTTTACGCAAAATAGCACGAAGTGGACTGTTAGCATAAGATCACTTTCCAAGCTTTTGTTGCTGTGTTACTTCAGAGCTTTGACTAACCACATGTTTTATCATATTAAAACATATATTAATGATGTATTTCGATGGGCTGTAACCTCCCTCATTTACATCACTCAGTGATGTAGTTAAAAAAAATTGTGCGAGATTTTGTCAGTCACAGTTTTTTGAAGCTTTTGTCTCCACGCAGTGTTTTTCAGTTGTGGTAATTAAGCTAAAGTGGCTCAGTCCAGCAACATAACTGGTTTACATTTTCATGCTGTTGGAGCCCTGTGACTTTAGTGCAGGCACAGCTCACATAGAGGGATGATGCGAGTTTCCAGTTAAACTTGGTTGGTGTATCAGGCTACGTCCCAAGTATTTTTGAAAACTGAGATTTTTCTATGCGTTTGGACCTTTCGTTTTATATGTGAACCTCACCTTTAAAAAATTTAGTATTAATTCAAATTTGTCTTTAACAATTTGTGTGTGTAAAATTTTTACTTCAGAGAGTGTGATTGTTATTAATGTTGTCTTCTTTTCAGTTGCTGGAAGATCCCTCAACTTAAATTCAGCTGATCAGTATGTAGACTATGAATTTTAAATAGGTTGTGATGGATGATTGTATTGAATTAAACTACTAGTTTTGAAATTGAAGCAGAAGAAATTGACTAAGTTGACCCTACTTAATATAAGTTAACTCTGCCCATTTACATTTTATTCTAGGTTGAACGAGATAGAGCTCCATGTAATCACTGATGACCAAATCGAGAAGTTGGTTCTTCCATCAGGGATCCCACCAACAGAAAAGGAGCTGCAAAGTGTTGTGAAGGATACCTTTGGGATTTCAAACGACTTCAGTATTTTAAACCAAAATTTCAGGACTACTTCACTATTCGCAGAAGTGACCAGATAAAAGACAAAGACACTGATCAACTGTCAGCTGACTATGACTCATCATCCAATCCAGTTGTATCCAATGCAGACTCTGCTGCAACCACTTCTCGAGACACCATTATTCTCAAAAGGCAGAACTTTGTGAGACCTGGCCAAAGCTGTTCCCTATTCCACAGTCAGCATACAAAACTGAAATGTAACTGGAAAGAGCCACTGAGGAGTATAAAAAGAATGGAAATCTTCTACTTTTCCAAAGTAAAGACTGACCTTCTTGAGGAGTTGGCTGAAACTGTATTTCTAAGTATGGCCTATTCTTCCTATTATTATTATTATTATTATTATTATTATTATTATTATTATTATTATTATTATTATTATTATTATTCCAAGCACTAGTGAAGAATTTCAGTGCATGCAATCTAAATTAATCAGAAAAATGTTATATTATAAATTTTGTATACATTTTATATTCCACAATAAAAACAATTACTGTTTGAATGTTCTCTTTGTGAAATTGATTCATTTTACTCAGAAAAGTTAAATTTATTTGATTTTCTCTTACTATTCAGTCAGTATTTATAAAGTTTAATTGGAAAATTATTGAATCCAATTTGAGTTTTACTTAAACACAAAAGGTTTTCATTTCTTTGTAATGGATATTTTAGTCATTTTTTACTAAACCTTTGCCAGATTGTTAGTAAATTCAAAGTAATTTTTCCTCAGAGATTAATTTAAAATGAATTAATTTTTTGTTACAATTATGCAATTTTAACCTTCAATTTGAGATTTTGTCCCTAAAGCCAACACATATTTACAAATGAATGTATATATTGTAATATATCTATATCATGGTTAAAGCACTTCTGGATGGATGCAAACTGCATTTCATTGCCCTGTACCTGTGACATGTGCAATGACAATAAAGTTGAATTCTATTCTATCCTAAACTGAAGGATTCAGATGTGGAGCTGCTCTCTGATCTAGCCAAAAATCCACACTGCAGACTAGAGTATATGAGGTCAGTAGAGGGTGTACTCCATCTTTGCTTCAGAAGTATTGTGCTAAAGAAAGTTAGTATGAAAGCAAAACTCATGTGTTTTCTGTAAAACTTTTCAGTGCCTGCTTGATTCATTGAAGATGTAAGAGGAGACAGACGACATTCGACCAGTCAGATGAGCCAAAAATCTTTTTGTGATCAGGTGTTTAAGTTCTGTGAAGATAATTAGTGTTGTGTTCATGTCTACAAGAAATAAAGCTGGATTCTAACTGACAGCCATACAATTTGAATCAAACTCTCCAATCTGATCTCACATATTTTTGTATTCATTTTAACACTACACACCAGATTAGCTTCATCTTCGTGACAGGTCTGAGATCAATTTGACTGAAGCAGAGAAATTAACTGGGTGCTATTTAAGAATACATTTATTAGCATGCAGAACGGAAGCTCTGCTACTATTTTATATATATTTTATATATTAAAAAAATTATATATATTTTATATATATTTGTCCTTCTCTTAGGGGTTTCATCCAGATATCTTCAGGGACAGTTTCTGTTTATTAAAAAGTGATGCAGAAATAGATGAGATGTTCATGAAAACACAGAGAGCCATCACTAAAGTGTTGGTACAGTAATAAAGTAAGTATAAAGTATAAGTATAAAGTGTTTCTAGTTCTGCATATTAAGTCCAAAACTGAGAGGAAGGCACGCAGCTGCTCCACCACAACCAAGTCCCTGCTGCTCTTTTTGCTGGATTTCCTGCAACACTGACTGACAGCTGCTGAAGAGAGCCTCTGTAAACACTCATTTATCATCTCTGTTCTTTTATCCTTTGTTCTACAGCTGGAAGTGAAGTTACCAGGGCTAAGAAAGGATAGCAGCAGCTTGTGTTTGGGGAGATGTTCCAACTGGTCATTGTTACTGGGAAGTGGAGTGAAAAGCAGAGTTTAATCCAGCAGTGACTGACAGAGGAATGAGAAGCAGTTCAGATGACTGTTAGTGCTGCAGAGTGAACTGCTGTGGGAACAGCTCTGCTGTCAGACACAGCAGAGTCCACCATCATTCCTGTGTCTCCCTCAGCAGTATGTCTGGACTGCTCTGCTGCTGCTCTGTCCTTCTACACACTCTCTGCAGACACATACTGACTCCACCCCCTCTGCTCCATATTCACCTGCATTTTATTTCATCTATTTTATTCATTTAAGTATTCTTTAAAAAAGTCTCTGCAGAATATTTCTGATTATGACACAACACTGAGAATCAGTGTGCTTTGAACTAGTGTAGGCTGTGGTTGTGGTTGTAGTGTTTTGAGCTGCAGCTTCACCCTGTGGAATGATGGGGAACTGTGGGGAATATTCAGTTTATACTTCAGAGCTTGTACAGTGGTGTGAAAAAGTGTTTGCCATTGCTTTTTCACATGGGGCCGTGTAGACTTGAAAATTTTCCCCCCTTAATAATAAACACCTTCATTTAGAAACTCATTTTGTGTTTACTTGTGTTATCTCCATCCATCCATTCGCTTCCACTTATCCTTTTCAGGGTTGCGGGGGCGCTGGAGCCTATCCAAGCTGCCTTAGGGCGAGAGGTAGGGTACACCCTGGACAGGTTGCCAGTCTGTTGCAGGGCTAACACATGAACAGAGACAACCATTTGCACTCACATTCACCCCCACATTCACAATTTAGTGTTTCTAATTAACCCAACCCCACTGTTATGTTTGTCTAATATTTAAATTTGTTTAACAATCTGAAACATTTAAATGGACAAATATCCAAAAAGATTAGAAAATCAAATATGCAAACACTTGTTCATACTGAATTTGCAGATTGTTACTCCTGTCAGTGCAGGATTATTTCGATTTTCATTTTATTTTTCCAATTAGTTTTTATCTATAGTCTCTATAAATATGACGACAGCTCTACCAGCAAGTTGAGCAGTGAAACAGTAAGATTCACAGCAGAAGAAAAGGACAGTATGAAAGCTTGCTTTTTTCATATTTAAAAATTTATACGACGTCAACTGTTTTATAACAGGAAATAAATAGTTATAATATTGTCATGGTTACCTGTTGCCTCTTTACTCACAGTTTACTAACACATAATCAGATGTGCCCATTATATTTGTTCATCTTAATGTTTAATTTTTGTACCATCATCAGTTTTACTTGTAAATTCTGATGCTGTGATAATATGTATTAACAATATAATGCTAAGAAAAATGATTTAGTTTTGAATAGTAATGATTATTTAATGATTTTCTTTTGGGAAACGTTATCAAAAATGACTCAACAGTCACTACTGCAAACCCTGAATCTGAATTTGAAAAAAAAGGTGACATTATAAATATTTGTGACTTTGTTAAACACATCAATGTGAAAAAAGCCTGAGAGCCATACATGTTTGTCAGAAGAAAATTGTATATAGTGTGATCAGCTTCATGAAATGTGTTCTTTTATTGATCACTAAGCAAATGTCTATGTGACTTTTGACATGAACTCTTGTGTGATAAACAACTAACAGCTTCCTCTTTTCTAAGAACATACAGTCTTAGAAAAGGGGAACCTCAGCTCTGAGTTCTTAGAATAACTCCTCTGTCAGGAATAATTGGTAGAGATGAATATTTACAGCTCCTGTGCCAAGTGCATAAATACACATAGCTCTTTCACTTTGAAGTTGCAGATATTGACTATGAAGCTTCGGGTGTTTCACTAATTTTACAAACAACCTACACAGGTAAAAATCCTTTTGAGAAAACAAGATTACCAAATGTCATTAATAACCTCTTACAGACAGGTCTGACCTGTCTGTAAGAGGTTCCTATTTTTGTGGGTTTTATGAGCTGGAAGCCCAAATTATGTACAAATAAAGAACTAAGTCCTTAAAATCATTTAAGTTGTGGGCCCTGAGTCTATAATCTATGAGAGTTTTTTTGAATGGAATTATGGAAATAAATATACTTTTCCATGATATTCTAATTTTTTGGAAAGGCTCTGTTATTCCATTGTCTTTGCGCATGCTGGTATTGTCTGTTGTCAACTGTGTTGTGAGAGCAAAGAAATAATTAGAGCCCAATTCCTTGTACTTGTGCACATAGTTGGTCAAAAAGTAATAATTGTATATATTAAATTAAGTAAGAAAATTTATGTTTTGCTAAATTATTTTATTATTGTAACAAAGCTTTTTGGCAATACCCCTTTTTTTATTCATTTATTTATTCTGTTTATTTCCCCTTAAATTGAGCCTTATTTGTAAGGAAAACACATTTCTGGGATGAGCAGCGGAGATGAGTATGTGGGCCGTGCCCATGAATGACTTGACAAATCTCTGCCAAACATCTTGTTTTAAGCTTCTGGCACTCCAAGAGCTGACAATCAGGTGATTAGCATGGACTCGGCTACAACTGTCAGTTGTTGTCTCCTCTAAGCATCCCACGTTTGACTGATCTGGATTGAGCCGGAGCCACAGTGCAACTTCAAACTGGTGTTCCACAGCAGCATCTCCAAACTGAAGGTATTATTTGTATTATTATTTCATACTTTACACTCCTGGTGATGAAGCAATGTCCAGACAGCCAGAGCTAGAGTTACAGTGGGGCAAAAAAGTATTTAGTCAGCCACCGATTGTGCAAGTTCCCCCACTTAAAATGATGACAGAGGTCAGTAATTTACACCAGAGGTACACTTCAACTGTGAGAGACAGAATGTGAAAAAAAAATCCATGAATCCACATGGTAGGATTTGTAAAGAATTTATTCGTAAATCAGGGTGGAAAATAAGTATTTGGTCACCTCAAACAAGGAAAATCTCTGGCTCTCACAGACCTGTAACGTCTTCTGTAAGAAGCTTTTCTGTCCCCCACTCGTTACCTGTATGAATGGCACCTGTTTGAACTCATCATCTGTATAAAAGACACCTGTCCACAGCCTCAAACAGTCAGACTCCAAACTCCGCCATGGCCAAGACCAAAGAGCTTTCGAAGGACACCAGGAAAAGTATTGTAGACCTGCACCAGACTGGGAAGAGTGAATCTACAATAGGCAAGCAGCTTGGTGTGAAAAAATCAACTGTGGGAGCAATCATCAGAAAATGGAAGACATACAAGACCACTGATAATCTCCCTCGATCTGGGGCTCCACGCAAGATCTCATCCGGTCAGCTGAACGGGGCAAAGTCCAACACGGGACCGAATGACTGCAGTGGAGTAACAAGCACCTAGAACCTAACGAGGACAAAAGATCCCAGAACCACACGGGGGGACCTGGTGAATGACCTGCAGAGAGCTGGGACCAAAGTAACAAAGGTCACCATCAGTAACACACTACAACGGCAGGGAATCAAATCCCGCAGTGCCAGACGTGTTCCGCTGCTGAAGCCAGTGCATGTCCAGGCCCGTCTGAAGTTTGCCAGAGAGCACATGGATGATACAGCAGAGGATTGGGAGAATGTCATGTGGTCAGATGAAACCAAAGTAGAACTTTTTGGTATAAACTCAACCTCGTGTTTGGAGGAAGAAGAATACTGAGTTGCATCCCAAGAACACCATACCTACTGTGAAGCATGGGGGTGGAAACATCATGCTATGGGGCTGTTTTTCTGCCAAGGGGACAGGACGACTGATCCGTGTTAAGGACAGAATGAATGGGGCCATGTATCGTGAGATTTTGAGCCAAAACTCCTTCCATCAGTGAGAACTTTGAAGATGAAACGAGGCTGGGTCTTCCAACATGACAATGATCCAAAACACACCGCCCGGGCAACAAAGGAGTGGCTCCGTAAGAAGCATTTGAAAGTCCTGGAGTGGCCTAGCCAGTCTCCAGACCTCAACCCCATAGAAAATCTGTGGCGGGAGTTCAAAGTCAAAGGTTATGTTACAAAGTATTGAGTTGTATTTTGTTATTGACCAAATACTTATTTTCCACCCTGATTTACGAATAAATTCTTTACAAATCCTACCATGTGGATTCATGGATTTTTTTTTCACATTCTGTCTCTCACAGTTGAAGTGTACCTCTGGTGCAAATTACTGACCTCTGTCATCATTTTAAGTGGGGGAACTTGCACAATCGGTGGCTGACTAAATACTTTTTTGCCCCACTGTACCTTGTAGTCTCTTATAGTCACCTATATTATATTACATTATCCATTTTGTTCTCCTTATCCAATTTAGGGTTGTGGGGAAACTGCCATAGGGCAAGAAGCGGGATACACTCTGCACAGGTCATCGGTCTGTAGCAGGGGAACACAGACCAACCATTCACACTTACATCTACAACACCTACAGCCAATTAAAATCACCAGTGAACCTAACAAGCGCGTGTTTGGACTGTTGGAGGAAACCAGAGTACCCGGAGAGGACCCAGCCAGACTCCACACAGAAATATCAGCCATGATGGTGGATTATATGATATAATATGATATGATAAATACATTCTGGGATCAGGCCAGTGACTGAAAAATTACAATTTTATTGCAGTCATTTAAAGTAAAACGATGTTCTGGGTAAACGATTTGTTGCATTATTGCTAACATAGGTTTTTATAAATGTAATTCTATTAATCGCTAAACAAAATAATGGCGAAGATGACTGAAATCATTCTAATAGTATTGAGATTAATTTGAGCGCTGATATTCTTAAGGACGAATCCTCGTCTCCTCTCCACGCCTTCTCTCCTCCCCTTCGTCTCTCTCTTCATCCTCGCCAGCCTTCATCCTCCACCTGAAGCTGATGTGGACACAAACACTATTCTTCCTTTGATGTCAGAGAGAGAGAGTCCTCTGCTTTTGCTCGCATCTAACGCGGTTGGAGAACGACTCTTTCTTTTTCGGCCAGGCCGCTTTAGGGCACGGCAGGGCGGAGAAGGAGCGACGCGGGGTTCGGTGCCGGAGCGGGTCTGCGGAGCTCTGGCAGCGGCTGCTTAATGAAGGAAAGAGCCGCGGGCTGATTACAGCACCGAGACAAGCTGCAGGAGGAAATCCGAGGAGCTGATTCTTTCAGAGTGAGCTGCAAAGGAGCATTCACCATGTTTCTGTCCGTGTGTCTAATATGGACACAGCTGCTGCTCACAGGTAAGCGCCTGCTGTGTGTTACTTCACAGTGATCCTGTTTCGGTGATTAGATATGTTTCTACAGTCCAGCCTGTAAACATGCGCGCAGATGGCGCTCACATCTCCTCTAATGTGCGGTTTGCTTTTTTGATAGCTGGCTGAAGGTCTTCCAGATAAAATAAGAAAGAAAAACTGCTAGCGTCCTTAATAGGATTTTACCCAGTGCAGGTGATGTTATATCAACTGCAAATACATAGTTTAAGTCCT